TAATTAATTTTATCATATAAACTAGTAATTATCTTATAATTTGACAATTATCTTCTAATTTGATGAGGATAATCATTACCATATTAGAAAAATCTAATTTTATTAGTAAAAATAGTTTATGGTAATTATCCTAACCCAATTTTGGTCAAAATCCCGAAAAATCTGCCAACAGACCTACAAACTCATCGAGTCAGACTTGGACTCGTCGAGTTCACAGTGAACTTGTCGAGTCCATGCAACAGATTCAAATTTTCGACTTTTTCAGCTAAGAACAATTAAGCAATGCATCATATATAATACAAAAATAACCTAGGCTCTGATACCACTGATGTGTTTTGAGCATTACAACAATCCTATGGTGCACATGCAATCCTAAAGGTTTGGATCTAGGTTTTCTCTAATTGTACATGCAATAATAATCATCCAAAGCTATAACCCTAAACTAGCATGCCAAATTCAAAATTTATATCTAATACAAAGTTAGAATATTACATTTCAATTGTAGCTTGCTTGATCTTCAACCTTTGAGAACTTAGCACCTCAAATGAGATGCCTCTAATAGATCACAAACACCAAGAGCAAGTTGGAGGAATATGAGAGAGAGGCTAGGGATCACAAAATTCGGTTGGTACTCTTCTTAGGGTTCAAGTGCCGATTTTAGGAGTCCCATAGGGTCTTTATATAGCTGAGCTGCTAGGGTTTCAGTCAAAACCATAATCCAGTTGCTTAGTCCTTAAGCAGCCCAATATATCCTTCCAGAAGATCCCTTTGGACGATTTCTATGTGGGTTACACATAGAAATTCGTCCACCTCTTCTTAAGGGTCCACAAGCCCAACTTTCAATTATCATATAATTGCAATATCAGTCCCTTTAATTTAATTAATTTCTTTTGATCTCAAAATTAATTCTAAATTAATTATTGACCAATATTAATTAAATAATATAATTTCTATATTATTCTTATAATATATTAATAAATCACAATTAACCTCTTTCACCATAATTCATCCAGTCAAGTTGCTATGGTGAAGGCAACCCAAAAGGATCATGTTACTATCGGGTCAAGTATATACCAAATATAGTTATGGGCTTAGACACCTAATCCAACATTAAGTTCATAACTAAAATATGAACTTAAAGAGAGAAAATGCATGCAAGTATTCTACCACCTTTTACTAGAGAGAAGATGAGATAAAGAGAGAGTGAACTTACATTTTTGGCATACACAAAATGGAAGCCTTTCAAGCCTTCATAAAGCTAGTCTTTTACACATAAGTCCTTAGCACTTTAAGTACAACATGTCCCTGAAGTCTAGTTGTCTCCCATGCTTATTAAGACATTTTTTACTTTTTATTAAAGAGATCAAAAGCACATGCTTCTTTTATTCATTCTTATAAAGATATAAAAGAAGAAAAAGTTTATACATTTTGTAAACTTCTTTTATAAAATATAACTTTGGCTTTGGCTAAAAGACAAAAGTTTTTCTAGTCCAAAATAATGTACATGACTTAATAAATCATACTTCCATGAAGTAAATAATTTTGAATTAATTATAAGAGTTTATTGAATATTTATTAAAATCAATTTATAATAAATAATCAACTGTATCAAGTTGTTGTTAGTGTGACCCTTTAAGATCATATATTATCTAGTAATATCATTTTATAATGACTCTTGGTTGTATCGATCTTTCACTTCCTCAGATGCGTGAATGATAGTCCCCTCTCCGTCTGCCTTGATTTGTTGAATTTTTGTCGATGGTATGGGAAGCAACGTGAAGAAGAGAATGGGAGAAAAAGTTGCTTTCTGAGGTGGGGTTGGTGACCGGATTTGTGGCTAATTGGATTTCCTCGACGGAGAGTGTGGATCGAAGCTTAGGAAGAGGTGGATTAGGTTTGGTATGCCAAGGAATATTTTCCACACTATCAATTTTGTGATTAGACCGTTTAAGGCATAGGTAATAAGATTTATGTCCTTGATTGTTTGTTCCATACCTTCAAGGAGATCTACCAGTTTCTTCACTTTCTCAGAATAGATGTGAATAGTAAGATTTCCCTCTGAACCACCATCCAATGACTTCCTTCATGACTCTGACATTTCTCCTAACCTTCGTCAGATTCTACCTCCCATCTCTCCTTCATTTGACCCCCCGTAACATGCGAACGACTCCCTCCCCTAACTTCTCCTCCAGCTACACCACATCTCTTACCTCCTCTGTCCCCTCCCCCTGACTCATCCATGCACACTCATTCTAAAAGTGGCATCGTCAAACCAACCCAACGCCTTAATCTTCATACTGACTCTCTCTCCCTCTCCCCTCTCTCTCTCTCTCTCTCTCTCTCTCTCTCTCTTATACTGAGGTCACATTTACAGGATTTCAAAAGATCTAAACTGGTATAAAGCCATGAATGAGGAATATAATGCTCTTATTACAAAAGGTACTTGGGTTCTTGTTCCACGACCATCGGGGGAGAATGCGGTTGGATCTATGTGGCTCTTTAAACAAAATTTTAATGTTGATGGTTCTCTCTCGGGATATAAAGCGTGTTTAGTTGCTAACGGTCGTAGTCAATAACATGACATTTATTATGATGAGACTTTTAGTCTGGTTGTCAAACTGGCCACTATACAGATCGTTCTCAGTTTGGCTATCTCTAAACACTGGCCTATTCATCAGCTTGACGTGAAGAATGCATTTCTTCACTATCACCTTCAGGAGACAGTTTACATGCACCAATCCCAGGTTTTCGAGACTTCCAACATCCATATTATGTATGTCATTTACAACGGTCGTTATATGGTCTAAAACAACCCCTGGTTTTCTTAGCATGCTCTCCACATGAGTTTTTATCATAGCCTCATCGATTCTTCTATGTTCATCTACCACTAAGGTGCAAATACTGCACATCTTCTTCTATATGTTGATGACATTATGTTGACTGCTTCTTCTACGACACTCCTTCACTCCATCATTGTTCAACTTAGCAAAGAGTTCGTCATGACTAACCTTATGGCCCTTAATTACTTTCTTGGGATATCCGCAACCCACTCCTTTCATGGTCTCATCCTGTCTCAAAGGAAATATGCATCAGAGATCCTTAGCGTGTTAATATACTCCAGTGCAATCTAGCGCGTACACTTGCAGAGACAACTCATAAGTTGGATGTCACTGGACCTCCCATTGCAGATCCTTCTCTTTATCGCAGTCTTGTCAGCGTTATTCAGTACCTTACTTTCACTCGACTTGACATCACTTTTGCTATATAACAGATTTGCATATTTATGCACGATCCCCGGGAGCCTCATTATCATGCGCTAAAGCGCATCTTATGCTATCACTAGGGCACTCTAGACACGGCTTGCAACATCATGTTTCCCCACGTCAGATCTTCACGCTTACTCTGATGCCGATTTTCCGGTTGGGGCGGCTGCCCTGTCTCTCGCGGTTCGACTTCTGGATACTGTGTTTTTCTCGGTGATAATTTGATATCCTGGTCTTCTAAACGACAGGGGGTTATTTCTCGTTCGAGTGTCGAGGTGGAGTACCACGATGTCGCTAACACCATTACAGAGACATGTTGGGTTCATAATTTACTACGTGAGCTTCGGATACCATTAGCTATGTGTACATGTCCTCGAACCTAGTTCAACACCGACGCACTACACACATCGAGATTGATATTCATTTTGTCCGCGACCTTGTTGCTCGAGGAGTTGTTCGCGTTTTTCACGTCCCCTCTTCTGCTCAGTAAACCGACATCTTCATCAAAGGGCTTCCGACACAGCTCTTCAACGACTTCAAGATCAGTTTAAACGTTCAGAAATTCTCCTCCTGATCAAATTGTGGGTAATGTTAACAAATGTATTCTATGTATTAAGGAAATCTTTGGAAAACTTCCAATATTTTACCCTAATTTAAGAAAAAGTCTCAAACTAAAATTTGTTTACGAAAAAGTCCCGGTTACCTGTAAAAGTGACGATTTGACTCATTTTTCCCGGTTTCATTACTTACCCGGTTTTATTAAAGTCTTATTATTTTATCATAATTTACGAAAAAGTCCCAAATTATGGTAAAATAATGGGACTTTAATGAAACCGGGTAAGTATTGAAACCGATAAACCGAAAAAAAAACAGTCAAATCGTCATTTAGTAATTAGGACTTTTTCGTAAACAAATTTTAGTTTGAGACTTTTTCGTAAATTAGGATGAAATATTATGACTTTTCCGAAGATTTCCCTATGTATTATTATTAGTTTGTTTAGTTAGCCCATAGATAGCGTGATGTATTTACCTATGTAAGTATTTGGCCCATGTGGCATGTATTTGTACAATATTCTAATGAAAGTGTGATTCATAGGAAAATAACAATTAGCATTGATAGTCCTCTTAGTAAAAGATGAAGATGGTTCAAAGTTAAAGAAAAAAAAACTTAATTTTAGTAAGCCAAATATGCGAAAATCTTGATAGATTTTTGCAGTCAATGCTGTCATTTTCGCATCAACATCCCAAAACAACGTCGGTTTGAAGAAAAAAAAGTTTGCAAATGACATCAATTCTGCAAAAATTATGGTTATTCGGGTCAATTTCGTTCTTTTGACTATTTTTTAATAAAAAATTATAAAAGTGATTATTGTGATCATATAATTTTTCTTATATATAAGAAAGTCTCATTGAGACTTTATATTCTTAGATCAATATCTATCCACATACTATTCCCTCGCCTAAAGAAATGATGTATATGACGTGGTTGGACGTCATTCGAACAACAAATTTTATGGATATCATGCGATTGGAGAAGCCCTAAATAAAGGTTGGAAATAGTTAGTTAGTCAGCCTAAACCTAAGTTTCTGACACCTAACAAATGAAAAAGAACCAAGAAAAAAAATCCATTACAATTACTTCTACTTCAAGAAACGTAATGCAAGAAATACATTTTTCTCATGCTTCATCTTCAAAACAACAAAAAAAATGATACAAATAAGAAAATTGCATAAAATACGCACTTTAAAAATACATACAAATTTTAAACAAAATTTGCTTTGATACCATTTTGTAACACCCCATCAACCCAAATTACTGATAGCCCACAACTTAACGCTTAGCGACGCTTAGCGGTTGTTATTTTTTATCCATATAAGACAAGGTTAACCGGGTTTTATTTAGATTAGTCTAATTATTTTGGGAAAATTGTTGATAAAGTTCTAAATATTTTTTAACAGAAAATCTCGATCATTTAGCATTTTGTCCAAATTAACTAAAAAGTTCTTTTAAATTTTTTTTTAACAAGTATGTGATTTTTCCAAAATATTGAGACTTTTCGGCTAAAATAAAACATTTAAGACTTTATCAAAAAATTTCCTAAAATATTAAGACTTTTCTATATAAAACCCTTAGTTAACAGATACAATATCATATACTAAACTTTTGTCTTGTCATATTGCAAACTTTAATAGTAATCATCATATTATTTTTTTTGTAAAAATTCATGAATCAAACAAAACTGATAATTCTATCGAGTAAGAAGACCGTAGGAAGGAAGTTCCTCAATGCGGTTCACGTTATCTTGCAAAAGCTCTCTTTCTAGTTGACGGCGTGTTGATTTCATCACAGTCTGTATTAAGTCAAAAAGAAACAACACCTTAATCTAATAATTTTTAAATAAATTAAAAATAAAAATTGGGAAATTAATCCTATACATTGAAATCCATGTAAGATGCATGCATCGCAAGCCATTGATGATCCATTAGCTTGAATGTGATGCAATACAAAAGGTCAAATGCTGACTCGTTTTCTGTCGTATTATAAATTTATAAAAAGCAATTTTGTTAGATCCTACGCTAAATTATAAAACGATAAATAAATAAATAAACGGTTTGACAGGTTAACCGCTGATGTGGCGTCCACATGGTTATGACATGGCGTCCACATAGGATTTTTATTTTCGACTAAATGAAAAAGATAACGACTTACTTCCATTATTTCTTTTTATCACATCATTGTACTTTCAATTTTCTTTTTTATTAATCTGACAAATTCTAACATTAATATCATAAAAGACCTTATATATTATGTTTTTTTTTTCGGATTAAACCTTAATTTATTTTTTTCCTAAAAAGGATCTTATATTTTTTCCAATTTTTTCCAAAAACACTCTCAAGTTTGTCTTTTTTTTTTCAGAAAAGAACCCTCAACCTTCTAACTGGTTCCAAATAAAACCTCAACTTTTTTATTTTTTCTTGAAAAAACCCTCACATTTTACAAGTTTTTTCGGATTAAACCTCAACTTATTTTTTTCCTGAAAAAGACCTTGTATTTTTCCATCTTTTTCAATTTGGCCCTTTTAGTATTTTTTTTTCCAAAAAAACTTGTCTATTTTGAGGTTTTTTTTTTGAAAAAAAAAGGTTAACCTTATAAAAGACCTTATATTTTGTGGTTTTTCCGGATTAAACCTTAACTTTATTTTTTCCCTGAAAAAGACCTTACATGTTTTCATTTTTCCGATCCGGCCCTTTTAGTCATTTTTTTAACGAAAAAAGTTGTAAAATGTTAGTTTATTTTGAGAAAAACTGAAAAAGTTGAGGATTTATTTGGAAACAATTAGAAAGTTGAGGGATTTTTTCGGAATAAAAGACAAAGTTAAGGGTTCTTTTTGAAAAAAACTAGAAAATACAAGGTATTTTTCAGGAAAAAAATAATGATGAGGTTTAATATAGAAAAAAAAACACAAAATATAAGGTCTTTCACGAGATTAACCAAAAAAAAGGTCTTATGCAAAAAAGTCCCATTATTTTGGGAAATTTTTTGATAAAGTCCTAAAAAGAATTTGAATAGGAAAGTCTTGATTATTTAATATTTTTTGCCAAAATTAACAAAAAATCCTTATTTTTATTCTAACAGGAAATGATAGATTATCGTGTAAAATTAAATAATCGGGACTTTTCTGTTATTTTTTTTAGGACTTTATCAAAAAATTTCCCAAAATAATGGGTCTTCTCTACATAAAACCCAAAAAGAATTTAAAGTTCATGATTTTTGTTTTGGAAAAAATTAAAATGTTGAGGGTTTTTTAGTTAAAAAATAAAAACTTGAGGGTTTTTTCTAAAAAAAAACAGTTGAGGTTATATAAGGTTTTTTTTTATGATATTAATCCTATATTTAATTTAAAACTTACTAAAAATGAAATTTACTTGTAGTTATCTCTTATTATATATCATATCCTAATGGATGCCATTTAACACTTTAGATCGCTTATAATTTAATTATATACCTGAAAGAAACTTTAGAAAAGTTGCTCCAACAAAACTCCGTGGTTTTACTATACATTTAAAACACTATTAGTATAAAAAAAATAATAATAATAAATAAAAATTCCAAATTTTGTTAAGGATTATTAACATTTTTATCAAACCTGCTTCAAGATCAAGCATCTGAATAAGCATGAATGTGATATTAACTCCAGCTACAGCAAAAGGATATTCCCACATGGCTCTATCACCTTCTTGCTTTCTAAGAAGATCTTGAAATGATTTCTACACATGAAATAGCAATGTACTTTTATATATTTGTTTTTATAATTATAATTTATAATTTATAGCATCCTACTTTCATTTATAGTTGGAGGGGTATACCTGGAAATTTCTGGCGAAATATAGTAAGTTCTCTAGTGATATGAATCCACCACCCCTATTACAAAACTCCATGGTTTATGAATAGGAAAAGGTAATGATAGGATTCAAGGGCAAAATGGGAATTTTTTTACCGAAAATCTGTGGAAGGATCTTTCCCTTGCCAGCCCATTTCTTTCCATTGCTCAGAAATCAGATCACTGAGTTCCTCTTCAGGAAATGCAGCTTTCCACAATGCCTTTAATGCTTCCTACAAAAAATAGGTATATTATTGTATTAATGTCAATTCCCTTTTATAAACTTAATAATATCTTTTTATAGATATAAAGATATGTACCTGATGTTCTGGAATTGAACTATCATAGGCTATGTCTAAACGGTTTTGAAGCCTTTGTAGACAATCCTCCTTATAACATCAAAGAAAAACAAAGCATAAGTGTAGATCTATAATGGTGTATTGAAAACATATCAAATATATATATATATATATATATATATATATATATATATATATATATATATATCAATCATGTGAAATGGATTAACAAATACCTCAGCAGGTGTCAAATCAAATGAGGGGCGAGAATCGCCTTCTTTTCTCTGAACACAAACACATGAAAGGCTTCTGCCAAGCCATGCTGTTGAGCCTGCAACAGCCTCATCTATTACAAGAAGAAGAAGATGACCAGAGCAAGTGAGTTTGTTCTAATTTGAACAAAAATCATGATGTTGATTAATAGGTATGTAATGGAAGTATGGAACAGGATCTATGAAGCCCACAAAAGATAGAAAAATGATGCATATTGTTACAGATGGTGTTTAGAATAAGGGGAAATGAAAACCTAAAGTAGGAATCACTTTATGCTTAAGATGAAATGGAATCAGAGCACATGAATTGAAATTTGAAATAGGAAATAGTTAATTCCGATCAAAAAACATGAATTGCAAGCAAAAAGATGTAGAGATTTGTTTGATTAGACGCAATAACTGGTGAACCTTTATCCATTTCATCCAATCGAACCAGATTGTCTTAACTAAAGTCGTTCGCTTGACAGTGATTCAAAACTTTATACGCCATTGAAATTTCAGTCTTATACAATCTCGAAGAAAAGTTGGAATTCAATCGATATGTTTACACTTCTAAACAAGCTCAACTCGCTACACGAATCAATTCAACCAACACAGATCCAATGTTTTACAAAAATCATAATGAAAAGAAACGTAGTTGAACGAATTTAATCGATGGAGATTTTGTATACCTGTTGTATGACAAGCATTGCTTCTATCAAGACCTTGCGAAATCCTCCGAACTGCGACAAATGATCCACCATCGTGCCCTCCTCTATCATCCATTCCCAGAAAATAAAAACACACACAGAGAGACACAAAATACACACACACACACTATATGAGGTTCATTTCCACCATTTTCAACCTGAGATACCGGCGAAGCATATCTTCAATTTGGCAATAAAATATTGAATCAACAAGAAAATCTAATCCGACGCATTTATATAAGGCGATGAAGTTCATATGAGATTGAGATAGCGAGAGGTCAACTTAATTTTGACCGGATGTCGGTCAAGAGTTGACTATGTATTATGACTCCATCGATGCTTTAAAGAAATACACATTTTAATCCGATTCCAATCCTTAGCACGTTTGATTCATGATTCTAGGGAATCCCCTACCTAATTGAAATTATGATTTTATATTGAGGTGACTTTTGTTATTTGATAAATGAAAAATTAATTTGATCTTGATCCAATTTGGATAATGCACATGATGCACATGAAAATGGTTTGGGAGTATAATGAATTTTGTATTTTATTTATATTTAGGTAATGTTTCTTTTGTATATGGTTTATCATTAAAATTGTTAAAAGTGTTCAAATATTATCATTGTGAGTGGCTATCTTAACTAACAACAATTACATTTGAGTATATTTAACAAGTTTCATAGTTAATCCTATGAAAAAAAGTTGTTTAATTATAAACAAAATGAAAAGTTCATGACCCACCAAGAGCATTTTCACTTTTATTTTAGGGTGTTGTTTATAATGAGGTTGAGAATGATAATAGAAGTCCCCTTTGAGCTCGATTTCCATAGTCACACTTAACATTTTATATTCAATTCAAGTCCATGAACTCGAAAAGTAGAACTTGAAAAAGAAGTAATGGATTGTTGGAGTTTTTCTTCAAAGTGGGTGCACTCAAAGTAGAAGGTGTGGGTAATCTATGTTTGATGTGGTTAGCATCTTAAACATATATTTTTGGATCTTATGCTCAAAGTCTTTGATATAATACTCAAGAAAACAAAAACAAATTTGTTTTTTCGATTAATCTACGTTGAAATTATTATTTTTCAGAATCTAGTTTTAACTTATCTTCCAACTAGTAATGGTTATATATATGAGTAGATTACATGAATGGTCCCTATGGTTTGAGGTAATTTGCATGTTTGGTCCCTAACTAATTTTTTTAACTCGAAAAGTCCTTACTGTTTGTTTTTATTGCGCGCTTGGTCCCTACTGTTTGTTTTTGTTACGCGCTTGGTCTCTGTCTTACCTAAAAATACTATTATTTAAATAGAAAAAATGGTGGGGTAGGTAAGGTAAGGTGAGGGGGTGGGGTTGGAGGTGTGTTTATTTAAATAAACTAAAAAACCATAGACAAAATAGTCTTTTTAGGTAAAACAACGACCAAACGCGTAACAAAAACAAACAGTAAGGACCTTCCGAGTTAAAAAAATAAGTTAGGGACCAAACGCGCAAATTACCCTAAACCATAGGGACCATTCGTGTAATTTACTCTCTCTCTCTCTATATATATATATATATATATATATATATATATATATATATATATATATATATATATATATAATATATATATATATATATAACCTAAATGTTTTCTTTATCTTCCTTTTGTTATTGAAACAATATTATTTAATTTTTCATCAACTGCTTTAGATGTTATATACATGAAATTTTGGTGTATGATTTTAACAGAACTTGAATTTTATAGTTAATAGACATGAACCATAGGAGAATTGAAAACACTTATACATGTTCAAAATTGATTCATGATGGTTCTTGAGTAGAAACCAGCAACAGCTACTCTTTGATTTTAAGAAAATGACTTAGAAGAGTAATGAACTTTTCATTTTCTTCACATTTAGACAACTTTTTTTATACATGACTGACCATAAAACTTGTTAAATATGTTCAAATGTTATCATTGTCACCTACAATAATTTGCGACAATGGTAATATGTAAACATATTTAACAAATTCGATGGTCAATCCTATACAAAAAATTTGTTAAACATGAACAAAATGAAAACTGCGTTACTCTCCTAAGTTATTTTAAATAATTTGGTGGAACTAGTTACTAGGTGAAAGACAAAAAACTATAATTTGTTGGCTTACTAGTTGTTATTTATATAGTAGTGTCCAACAAAAAATAGTTTTATGTTTGTGAAAAGTACAAAAGCACATAAAATATAAAACATAAAAGATACAATATCATAAAAGCTATAAAATGGTAATTAAGATAGTTTTTTGTTCTAGAAGTTTTTTGTTTAAAGTAAAAGTTTTAAGCTCATATCTCTAAATGGTTTCTTCTTTTAACTTGAATTTTGTTTATTAAAAGTTCAAAAAACTAAAAGCTCTTAGAACATTTTTACTAAACACAACATGATTTTATTTTTCTACATAATTGACCCATATTTCTTCCCCAATTCGTTCCCCCTCCTTTCCCCTAGAACCACTGTAACGTCCACAAAATACTGATAAAAATTTTCATTTTTAAAATCATCAAACCATATATCATGAGTTTCAAAACCAATCATAGTGCAATGTATCAAAATCATCATAGTAAATTAATCATCGATGTAGAAATTATAAGGGGGTGTTGTGCAGTCAAGTCGGGCCCTTCCCTTTGGAACTGGAAGTACCTGAAAATGTTTAAAACACAAAACCGTAAGCACAAAGCTTATTGAGTTCCCCAAAATACCAGATACCATACATAACGTCGGGCCCCGCCCAAATATCGGGTCGCGCCCACTGTAACAGGCCCCACCCACATAACAGGCCACACCCATTATACATACGGGCCCGCCCATCATACAAATGGGCCCCACCCAACATACAAATGCAAGAGTTACAAAGACAACAAGCATCCAACGAGAAGACTCACCTAACTCACGAAATTTGATAACCACACCTAACTGTCGTGAGGCTGGTGCTCCAACACACCCAATCATCAAACAAGGTCCAACTTTAGTTTATACCTAAAGGTCAACCCTAGGTAAAAAAGTTAACGGTCAAAGTCAATACCAGTCGACCTCCACTTCGTGACTATCCTTTTGCTACATCGTGGCTAACGAGTCCAAACCCGATCAGAATCCCAGCCAAGTAAAAAAAATAGCTTCAACAAGCCTCGACGTCGTGGCCCTCCCTTGGCCACGTCGTGGGTACTAAATGCCAAAACAGTCGGCTTCTTCCCCAGTCGCCATGTCGTGGCAGCCTAATGGCCATGTCGTGGGAACTGGTCTAAACAACTTAATTGAGCTAAGTTGTTTTCTTCCTAATACAAGGGCTCCAAAGCCTAGGATCTGGTCCTTCCCCAGGTCTTAATGAATAAAGTTTACAACTTTATCCATTAACACATCCCAAAGAGTCAAGATCTCAAACCCTAAGTCCTTAATGACAACCTAAAGCATGCACTCACCCATTAAGCACTTAATCAACAAAAGTTACTTCTCTCAAGTTCTAGAAGGGTTTCCCACACCTAGTGGACCATAAAAATCATGGATTTATGGACATGAATGTCCAATGCTTGTCCTTCCCAAATAAGGTCATATACATGAGGAAATAAACCTAACTTTGTGTATGAATAAAAATAGGACAAGAAACTTCAGATCTGAACCATACAAGCCCAAAGGGACCATGAGGATCCATAAAGTTGCCAAATTTATGGAATCTATCATTCTAAACTTTCATAATACGAAGATCAAAGGACAAAAGGCTTAGATCTAAGAGCAATCAACATAAATCTAGGATCTTCGACACTTACAAAGGTCCAGAGAATGCACACGAGAAGAATGATGAGGCTTGCTTGCTAGATCAACACACTAGAATACTTTCTTCTTCTTCTTAAATCCACCAAAAGCACCAACATGAGCTAAAATCACCAAGAGAGGCTAGGGTTAGGGTTTCTGAGGTTTGAGGGTAATGGAGGCTAAGGAAGATGACCTAGAATGGGAGTTAAGGTGTTTATATACAAGAGAAACCCTAATAATCTCGAGTTTTAGGCCGCAACGGCTGCCACGTCGTGGCCATTCTTTGCCACGTCGTGGAGCCCACTAAAACGTGTGTTCCAAAATAACCTTGCCACGTAATGGGATTCCATGCGCCTCATCGTGGCTTGGATTTTTTCCGAAAAGTTCCATCCTTGGTTCCGCTAAGTTTCAAGCTACACCAATCTGGAAAATGGGTGTTCCAACCACCACCACCACAAACCATATCATCCTACCTAATTCCTATTGTCCCTGTTGTAGCCCTACACCCATGTCCCTTCACTAAAAACCCAATATAAGACAATGTCTTGACATATCCAAATGCAATTAAGGTTTAACAAAATTAAAAAATAAGCCTTCTTATGTCCATACAAACTTCATTTTCAAGCAGTAGTCCCAAATGTAACATCTTAATTTCCAGCTATTCCATTTTTGACCTTTGTTTTGAGTATGGTTTCCAAATTTAGTCCTAAGGGGAATTTTCGTAATTTTTGGGCAAGAATTGCGTACGTTGGGTGTACGTTTCGTATGTTGGGTGTACATGGCCAGGGTGCAAACCCTAAATTTTGGGGTTTGGACCCTATTTAAGCATCAATATAGCCCCATACCCTTCCTTAAATCCAACCTCCATCCCTATCTCGAAACCCTAAAGTGTGTAAGTGTTTTGAAGCTTGAAGAGTCATTTTGGTTCCATTTTGGTGCTCTTGGTGGTGAAGAAGGAACCTTGAAGTTGTGGTGTTTCACTCAAGACTTTGGATCCAACAACTACTCTCTCTTGTGCATCTCCTAGAGGTATAAAGCTCCAACCTTGATGAATATTTCATTAAGATCTAGTTTTAGCTTAAAGTTGGCACATTTTTGTCCCAAATCTTGGTCTTTGTGAGTATGGAATACTCTAGGAACTTTGAGTTGTCCTTTTAGATGTTTTAGGGTGTGTCGAGTCATAAAAATGTGATCTTGGACATTAGTTTCTTTCCCTGCATGATCTAGGCTGTCTTAATGGGTCAAGAAGCTAGGGGTTTTTTATGTTAAGGTCTTAATAGCCATGTAAAACCATAAAGTTGGAAACTTTATGATTAAGGACACTTTTAGGGGCTAGATCTGGATTTTGGATTAAAGTGCTTAAGGATTAAGTACTTCAAGTGTTGAGTGGGTGGCAGTCGCGTACGCTGGGCATACCAAAGGGTACGCTGCACGTACGTGTTCAACCCCTTGTTTTTTGGTCAAG